AAGTTCACGGTTTTCTGCTTGTGACCGTCTTGTGGAAATTGGCTTATGCTACAAAAGATTCTGTCTAAAAAGATCAAACAAATGAAAAGTAGTGCACCGAAGAGCAGGTATCGAAAGAAGAATTGCTGAACTGAGGTAATCCTTGGGAAAAGTGCGCATACGAGGGTGTATAGTACTTAATAGTCGTACTTAATCTTGACTAACCAAGCTAACGTCCAACCAAACCTATATCAATAGTTGGCTAATCTCTTCAAACTTTCAAATGTAACGCAAATATTCGACGCAATTTATTGTAACCTCGATGACTGACATGTCTCGCCCTTTCAAAGAAATAATCATGCAGGGATTACTTCGCGTAATTGTTAATTGCTCTTGGTAAAATATCTCGCAAGTTGTCAACATTTTTCTTCAAAGCATGCGCTGAGTGCACAAAAGAGGGACGGAGAGTTATTGTACATACAGTAAACGTACTAAATATCGTCTGCAGATGGAGGGTGGAAAACACCTCAACTGAATGTTGAAAAACACCGAGCTATAAGTAAAATCTTATGACTCTGGCATGATGAACCTTCGAAACCGATGCAAATCGAAGGGTGGCTGGAATAACGTCGCCAGGCCCAACCTCGTCAGCCAGGAATAATGTCGTCACGAATTAAACTCGTCGCGGAATATCTTCGTCAGGAATAACATCGTCTTTATGTTCTACCCGAGATGTTGGGACTTGAGGAATTTTTTGCTGTACGAGGTTGGTCCAGTTGTGAAGTGCGGGAAGATTTTTTCAGCTTTTCGGTCTGATTCATTCTTCTGTCACATCGTCAAATCGACTATGGGACTGGTCAACTTCGCAGCAGATCGACTTGCCTCGTACAAATGCCTCGTTCGTTCGCCCCCCCCCCCCCCCATTGTCCTCATTTGATAAAAGAAAGTCTCAACTGTGTTTATCTCGCCCTCGGAGGATATTAATTTTCAATTTCTCACGAGCACACCGTGGAGTACCAAGTTTAGAGTCCCATCTTTTATAATGATGTAGCCAGGAGTCGGTAACCACTGCAAGTGAAGTGGAACTTACTCTGAAATTGCGACCAAGTTTGTTCTGATTACGAATACCGCCACGAGTTGACGAGTCCCTTGTTGACCTGCAGATTGCTGAACAAGAAGACTTGACCCGAAGTGATTTTAACAGCAGAGATACATCTCGAGGATTTGTGTTGTTGTCTTAGATGACCTATACTGTACAACAGCTGAACTCTCGATTATGTTTTTCTCCGAAAAATCTCCAATTTATGTTTCAAGAGCTCTTGTAAAACCGTAATCTCAGCATACCGAATAATTTTTTAGCCCCTTGAGTGACGTTTTTAGTGGGCGAGAGTCGGAGTCGCATGTTGTGTAGAACTCTTGACTGTAGAGAGAAAAGCAAGCTTTGCACAAAAACTGAGACGGACAATAACGGATTTTTTTTTTTTATAATTTGGAGAAGGCTTAACCTGATCTTCCAGGTTGCATCTGGACTGCATTTTTTTATCAAATATTTTTTCGATGTGCGAAGACTGGTGAATTTCAAGATCATTTTACATGATTTATTAATTGAAGAAAAGGATTTAATGATTATAATTTGGATATTTTTGAGTATTTTTAAGTGCTCAGAAATGCGTCTTTGCCGTCGTATTTACTTTGCTGGGCGATTCCTTTTGCCGACGGTGCATTTTCTATCATTAAAGGTCATGGAAGTTGTAGACTTTTCTGGCCTTCCGTTAACCGTTCCGGTCGGTCCGTCAGAAAAATATTCGCATATGCAAAATGCTCTGAGGTAATCACTGTTCACGCCTTCTGCAAATGTGAGCATTTCCTCGCACGCGTTACGGATCACCGGGTTCATAATCTATTTTCGTGCCATAGTGGCACATGTGTTCGTGCCGATTGCTTCCGTACGATTTGTTTGCAGGGATCTTTTGGTATGCCAAGGGTCACACTGTCGTACAATGAGTAGCTTCTCACTGCGAGGGTGTGTGTTTTCGGAAAAAAAAGCGTGACGCAGTTGAAAACGTTTATTGCCATTCGGTGCATTGAGGGGTGTTCCAAGAAAGTGAAAGCGTAACGCTTTCCAAATGCGTTGCAGTTGGACTAATTCGCAAGAGCTTTTGGATCCGGCTTGTCTGAATGCATTTTTGAAATTTCGAATGTACGATCCTCTTGACGAGTCGATTGCATACAAAATCAATGTCAAGATAACTATCGCTGTTATTTTGGCTCTAGTCATACATTATCTCACTTTCACTTCTTTTTTCCTTGGTGATTTGTTGACCCGACAACTGTTTTCCGCTGTCAAAATTGTTTTATCCGCAATGAACTGCATTAAAAGAATCTGATCTCTGCCGCAGTCCCAAATTGCAGAGACGATTTGAAATTTTTTTTATTATTTTCGAAATTTCACTGGTGCATTCATTCGTATGAATTCCCTTATTCGACGAATTACTTATCATTGATATGTAATTTGATATCGTTGATGGCGTAATTTCATTCACGAAAGCGATTTTTTCATTTCATTGGGAATGACTGGAATGAAAAGTGAATCCCCCTGAACGAGGAGACAAGTGGAGTAAAAAAATAAATAACGTAGGAGAAAAGTAAAGTTAGTTTTTCCTCGGGAAATTGAAATTTATATATCATAAAAAAATTTTTTTCTCCCGTTTCGAATCTACCATCCTAGCGTTAATTCTTGGAGAATTATGTGTCTCTTCTTCAAAAAATGAACCCGCAATACGATACGATTCTTCGCCTCTTTAGTTCGTCGGAAAAAATTCGACCCATAAAACGATCAAAAGTTTGTCTATTGAAACAGCATCCTCGCCCTTTTGCCGGCTGCGTCTTCCTCTCTGCTCCTTCTCGTCCTGTGTAAAATAAATTGACTTCGCTACGTCTTCTTTTTTTTAGGTTGGATTTGTTCAGGAAAGTGCCAAATTTGCGAATTCTCGCTTGCGGTGGAGACGGTACCGTCGGCTGGATTTTCTCTGAATTGGATAAGATGGGAATCGAGCCGCCACCGCCGGTCGGAGTTCTGCCGCTCGGCACGGGCAATGATCTGGCCCGTGCTCTTGGTTGGGGAGGCGTGAGTAACATTTTGATTTCTATCGTTTCCAATTTTAAAAGAAAGAAGCGGGTAATTTATGTAGAAACCAGCGCTATGATAGATGATTCGTGAAAGGGGTGTCTGCTGCAGCGATTGCAACTGCTGAGGTTGAAGTTTGATTTGTCAGCAGGAAAGAATGACCCGCTCGTCGAGTCGGTCTGTTGTACATTCGTGTTCATTATTCTATAGAAAAATATTGCCAGGATTTGGAAGATTTAGCTTGCCTAAATTGCAGAGAGAAATGACACGCACCCCTCCTTTTTTTTCGTGCATGAGAATTTTTTTCTGATGATATTCCTGTTCCCTGTTTTGAATGCTAGGATAGTACTGTAAATCAATGAAGAAATTTGTCCTATTTCAGCGGTTGGGCAGAATTTGCAGATGAAAGTTTCGAACCTCGTGCTCCTATAGTCCTGAGGGAAATCAGTTGTGTACATTTTTTTTTCGGTTTTTTTACCTTTTGCTTTTTATCGTTTAATTACGGAAGTACGTTGCAAACTAACTCGCTTGGTAATGGCTGTCTGCGTCGAAAAAATATTGAAAACGTTTGTTGGAATTGTAAAACTAATTTACAGTATTTGTCATCGAGGACTGTTTTCAAGACAGCGCTTGAAATAAAATTGAAGTTCGTGAATATAAGTTGAGAACCTTGAAAAAGTTGGTCTCGGGGGTACATGAGAAGTCGAAATAATACGGCGAACTCTCTCTACAACGAAATTTGGGAGACCTGAAAAGTAATTCACTGTAGGGAGAATTTTGTTGTGGAGAACTCCAATAAGATGGGGCTGAACCCTGTGGGACCCGCGACAAAAATCGTCAGAGAAAGTCATTAAACGAAATAACATTGCGGAGAGTCCACCTGTATATACTGTAGTTGTTATTAGTCTCTTCGAAAGGACATCAAAACTGTGAATGCCGAAGTATTTTGCCGAGAATTTTCAACGTCCGAATATTGTGCGATACACTTACACGCGGTTTTCTTGAGCGTTAGCGTCTACATTCACATGCACGTCTTTATAACACGTGCAAGACTGGTTCTTATAGTCCATCCAATAAATTCACGCAGAACTGTCATTAATCAAATGGATTGCTTGATGAATCTCCCTGAAATGATATTTATGGCATCACTTTTCTCGCTGCGCGTCAACTTCCTGGGATTGGTTATTCGTGACACGGCCGGTATTTCTGCTGCGACTGGATGCGATAAATATTGTTTTTTCTCATCAGAATTTCTGAAATGCGTGAATCAACGTATTTACTCGTGTGTCAGACTCATTTTTCGCCTTCGACGAGCCACGGAAGAATTTAGACGCGGTTGAATAATTAATAAATGAATCAATTTTCAAAACGATTTTCTGTGCAAAACCTCCGTAAAACTTCTTAGCCTGGGAATGCGGCAGTTTATTACAGTAAATACAGTAATTTCTCTTGCAAAATTATTTTATAGGCTTCCATGTGTGAACACGTTCCACGCGTGAACCGTTAATCTTCCTTGTACAATATTCTGTTCTTCAAAGGTAGACATACTGTACCGTACTTCATAATACAGTACCGTATCATGGTGTGGAATGCTTACGGAAAATCATCTGTGATCCAAATGTGCGTTAATTTCCATTCATTTTGCGCACAAATGAGACTATGGGCCGAAAGGTCAGGTCGTGTTTTAGTGCCATGCCTTCTTTCTCGGAATGCCTTGAGCCTCGAGCGGTGTACGAATTCATCACGTCATAGTCGCTCTTCTGTGTAGCCGAAGTTGCATTGTTTGTCGGTCCTCTGGGACTCACTTCCCACTGACTATCTTGGACTGGCTTTCTCTGGGAATGATGTTGGCAGAGAAACGAGGTGATGACGGCGGAAGAAAGATTGAAAAGAATAAATTCTGGCCGGGTTACGAAGTTCATGATGCTATCCACGAAGGCGCCGCTTTTATCCGGGAAAATTTGATCCCGTGCCGCCTGAAAACGCGATCGACGATCCCGATACAATAGTTTTCGTATAAAATACTCGGTACATAAATAAATGCGGACTTTCGCCCTAATGCTTTGCCATAGCGATTTATGATTTCAAAATACGAACAATAATCTACAGTACAGTGTAATGAAATTTTGATGTTCTACGTGCGCGAAATGCTGTGCACTTATCCTTACAATTCGATAAATTTGCTCCTTTTTCGTACCTATAAATGCAACTTCTTTCCCGAACTCATGTTCTTATCAATTCTTGAATTTGAAGACCACTGTACTGGATACATTTGAGCTAAACATAGTTGCTTCTTAATCAGAGGCGCTCGGAAGTGATGCATGGACATCCTTCTATACACTACTAGCGGAATTATCATCTTTTGCTTCACCATCCCGGCGAAAAAGTTGTATGAACATTTCGAGGAACATTCCCGAAATATATCAGCAATCGAAATCGTTTCGAATCATACGTAACTGTTTGCATTGTGAATTATTTAAACGCGTGACGAACTCAGACATTCATTTTAGGATTCTCATTGACCTGATCCAGAAAGCGGGGAAAATTTTTGGGGTTCTTTTTTTTTTTAATTCCTGAGCTTAACGTGGCAACGTAACTGAAACTGTTACATTTCATTCAGCTTTCATTTGAATTTTTTTTCAAGGTACCCGTGCAAGCCTTCCCTGAGATATCACAGCTGGACTCTACAACAAAAGTTAGGGGACCAGAAAACGTTCGTTGTTGAGAGAATTTCGTTTTATTAATCTTGATAGAACGGATGGAATTCCGCTATGGGACCAAAAAAGAAACTCGTCACGCAGAAAAAATCATTGCAGAGAGTGTTAATCAATCCTGTAAATAGGGTGAATATATCTCTTCCAGCTTGTTATTCGTGAATTTGAAAAAAAAAAGTGAAGCAGTAAACCTATAATTATTGATTCAATATACATGCTAAAATAGTTTTGCCAAAATACGTATATACGCAGGATAGACCGGAGTTCCTTTTGAAAGTGCTTTACGTCTGAATATAATAGGAACTTTGGATGAGTTTCCTTCAGTTGAGCACCTTGCAAAACTGCCCCACAAATCGAAGAAGTGTGTGCTGCATAGCGGGACCGGCCTGTCGGATCTTACGTCTCAGTAATAAAATTTTCAGCGTCGTGTCTTGCCTACAGACGACACGGCCCCCGAAAAACAAATAGATAAAATAAACAAGGGTTGAAGAGAAGTCTAGACCGGAACTTGCTCCGTTTCCGTTTTCCTGCCCAACGCGTTTTTTATTCGGAAGGATCGCGTCACACGCAATTTCGCGGATAAATTTTATGTTTCACGGAGAAAGCTGTGGATTAATTTCCTGGCCGTGTGTATTTGCCCTCTGTCAGCGACTATTTATGTTAACGTCGTTTGGGAGTTCGTGAATGCTGCTGCGATGCTCGTTACCGTGTCTGGAGTACTTCGAGTTCATTCCTGGCTGCCTTTTGTGAGTTCTCTTCATTTAATCAAGATAATGAATTGAATACTCTGGTCAAGGCTAGTTTTTGTTTTTTTCTGTTCTTCCCAGTGCTGCCATTTTCCATTAGCACGCGTTTCTGTCGCTTGGGTGATACTGTACTACGGAGTGAATCATTGGTATAAGGTAGTACCCACGAAAGCCCTTGGTTTGTAATGAAAATGGTGGAGGTCCTCTTCTTTATTTCTGACAGAAGTTTCTGTTTCCCGGATAAGTCCAGAATATTTTATTTTTCAATTTGCTTCGCCTTTCCTTGGGGAAGGTTTCGGGATTTTATATTCCTTGATTCGTATACTTTTATGATGCCATGATCCCCACGCAGATTTCATCGCATATTGTTTTTCTTCGGCAAATGTTCCAGAATTATGATGCTGAAAGGTGCTGAAATTCTGGCAATTTTTTTTTTATGTTGTGGTTAGTGAAACCCCTCTTCGTATCCTGATTGGTACACCTTGTGATTGGAATACTGTACAGTAGTTCAATCTGATCGTATGAGACCCCTTTGCTCTAATGATCGTTGAAAGGAAAGACTAGGAACGACTCTTGTTTAAATCGATTGAACCTGAAGACCTGAAAGCACTTCGGCAACTTACCCGGGTCAAGATTAAGCCTGCTGCTCGACTCAAAGCTTTAGCCTTCATTTCTTGTTGCAAGTTCTACGGCTTGCTAGCCAAAACTGAATATTCTTCTCCGAGAAACTTGTGAGGCTTTTTTGCTTCAAAAATGTTTGTATGTTTCTTGTAAAGTATTATTCAAGGTTCCTCCCAAGACATGATCAATTATGATAATGTCTTTTCTCAGTATGTTTAATTGATCCGATTCTTAAGATAGCTTCATGTCTTTTCTGCGCAGGTTTAATTGATCCGATTATCTCTCGATATAGCTAATACGATCAGCTAAAAATAAAGTACTGAATATCTGCGAAATTCCTTGGAAGGAGGGTACATTTTAAAATACAGTACTGTATATACATCTCGTGTTCATGTGCATTTTCAACCCATTTGGGATGATAATGTTTTATTGAATGTCTCATGAGAAGACCGTGTACTGACATGTCTCGCCTTGTCCGAAATTAATGGTTAATGCAAAAGCTCCACCATTATATCCAACTGCCACAGTGAAAGCAGTAATAAACTTGGCTAACCGGACAATGTTTTTGTTGTGATGCACGAATACTGACCCTAGATGGAAAGAGCACGCTTGATAAAGCAACGAAATACTGTAGTTATGTCTTTGCTTCTGTCGCTTTGTTTCCTCTCGAGACTCTTGATTTTCATCTTATCTGGGCCCTTTTGCCCTTCTATTATTATCTCTCTTGGAAGGCTGATGTCTGCTGGTAGTTGCTGCGGGATTTTGCGCATTTTTTTTCTCCTTGTTTTGTCTGAAGAAGAAAAGTCACTCTGAACACGAGATCTTTTCTTTTTTCGAAATTGAAGAAGAATCCCTAATTGCCTGGTGTATTTTTTATGCCAATGAGCTGTGTCGACATTTTGGGTGAGGGGTCAGAAAGGGCAGTGGGAAATGACACAGGCTCATGTCAAGCCGGAAACGGAACGTCGTCTTCCTTTTTCAGTTGGTTGCTTGCGATTTTCTTGGTTGTTGTAAATGTCAGCTTGTCTTGTCCCTTCGGATGGTGAGCTCGTGAAGCTTTGAATGGAGATCGCTTTTGGATTTCTTCCATTGATTCTCGGAGTTGATTTGAAATACCATTGCTTATGCATCATTGTGTGCGTTCCCGAATTTGCAAACTGGACTAGCGATTTTTCAATCGTGATGAACGTCTGCTGAATAAAAGTCATAAGTTTGAATATTTTTCAAGTGCGATGCTGTGCTCGCTGAGCATTGGGTGGTATGAAAATTAATGATTTAAATAGCATTTCAAAAGCATTCCGTGCTGGTCAGTTAAGCATGACACAGTAATTGAAAGGGCAATTCAAAAACTGATCATGGCCATGAAATAAAATTTTTTGTCTTCCAAGTTCATGTTTCAGAATCCTCCAATCAACGCGAGGATGACGAAAAAATCTTAAAGAATGGTCTGTCAATTTTTTACGAAAGCGCTGCTGTGGACTGGACCCTTTTTCGAAGAATCATTTTTGGACCAAATTCATATTGAGCATCACCAACACATTCCTGAACACGATTAGGCCATTTTTTTAGGGACGTGATTCTCAGGTATGAGAAATTTTCGTGAAGAATGTTATTCAATATTTGGTATAAAATAAATACCTGCATAATCAAATAAATATGTGGCTAGGGCAGGTAGTATCCTCTGATGAGGTGCACTTTCAGCTCTTTGTCTTCTCTTTATTTCAGCCTGTCTGAGCACGTATAATCGAACCGTGGTTGTAAAATTGATGACATATATGTACTACTCTGCCAAGATTACGTCCTTGTTCAAACATTCTGAAATTTTGCAAAATGGGGAGCGGAAAGCCGACGAAGCTCACGAACCGACATACGTACTTTACTGCACTTCCTTTCGTTGGAAAACGTGCATCGGTTTTATGTGTTCAGTTTAACGGAATTTTCAAGGACTAAAATTATTACTGTATCTTTGCATTCATCGTCGCCAGCTGGTTGCATTGCGTGTTAAGAAAAAAATAATAATCAAAGGAAATACTTCATGCATTAAATTTCGTTTAGACTGCCATTTTCGTTGTTACTGTAGCGAAGCGAAGCAATATTTCACCGCGAGCTCTCCGCTCACTTCGGCGGAGGTATGAAAATATATTGCCGAGTGTTGATCCCGAGGCGAGAAAAGCGAGAAGCGAGGTTCGCCTTTTGGGTTGCTGGGGCATTACGCGAAGCTCGTGGTTCTCCTCATCCTTCATTACTACTCGGGGAGAAAATTTTCTTCCCCTTGCGTTCCAGCAGGAGGGAAAACATTTTTCTCTTGCGGGGTGAACAAGGTTCCTTTGAAGCTTTTATCCAAGTAATACTCTCGAATAATGACCCGAGTGGTGAAGCAACTTAAAAAAAAAAAGATATGGTGCCTGAGGGAGCGTGGGATGGAGATTCATCAATATTGTCTGAAGCTCTTTGATGTCTTTTTCATTTTTTTAAATGTCGACGCTTTGAACCGCTTCCCAGAATGAAGTAAAGTGACATTGATAGGTCAAACTCTTGGAATGAACCATGAGGGAAATACACTGTTGTTCGACGATTACTAAATGTCAACGTCTGGAATTCTAGGCTATCCTTTGAAAATGAGTTGGAGATCTGTCTATGTCGAACACCTGCATTATTTTGATTCTTCATTACACACGCAACCAATTTTGTTTTCCTGGAAATGAAAATAACTTTGACTTGAATATGAGAGCACTTCCTATAATATTTTTCAAAATCATGAGTCCGTTATTGATTATATCTAGGCTTCCGTAACCAGCGGAAGCTCTTCAAATGCAATACTTTCGAATCTAATCAGTTTTCTAAATGTTCCCGTTAAAGTTTACTAGGAATGTGTTCAATTTAATTCAAGATGGTTTTTATTCAAGGGATTGGGTTGTTTTAAGAAGGAGTACTGTATGTAATTTATGCCATTCGACGCCGCCGTCAAATATAAGAAGCTATTGAATCCGAATCAAGGACACTAGTTTTTCAAGCCAATATTTTGCGATGAAGTGCGTCTGACATTTTAATGAACACGTCTGTGAATTGAATCTTGGAATCGCTTTTGAGAAAAATTCAGGAATCTCTTGAATTTTGATCCTGAGGCTGTTGGATTACGGTACATTCTCAGGTTGATATCATGAAATGTGAAACTTTTATGGAGTGAGATGATTTCTCTCCTGAGTCCTGTCCGATGAAGCGTGCGCTTTACAGCCTAAAAATTTGGAACTAAATTCCACGATCTTTGCAATACTGGGTTACAAGTGTTGAATTTTGTTCCTTCCTTTTCTTGTTCAGGGATACACCGACGAACCGATCTCGAAGATCCTGTGCCATATCGAGGAAGGGGACATCGTGCAGCTGGACAGATGGACATTGCGAGTTGAGCCCAATTCCGAGGTCTCGGTGGAGACGCAGAAGGGCGGCGGTGACGCCACGTTCGGCGAGGGCGAAGTGAAGGATTCGCCGCCGTTGAACGTCGTCAACAACTACTTCTCGATCGGGGTTGATGCTCATATTGCGCTGGAATTCCACGAAGCAAGAGGTGAGGCATCAGTTTTTCTTCTTTTTTTCTGATTTGCTATCGTCGAAGACCTAGGTTTTCGACGTGAAAGCGTCTGTCGTCTGTGTGAAGTTTTGGAAATTTGACGGGGTGTCGACGCTTTCAAGAACACGTCATTAGATATTCGATCATTTATTCGCGCTTTTCCGAAATTACGAAAAATTACATCCCCGTCGATCTTGGTAATGATAGTACAGTATTAATGTCGCCATTGCCGATTTCGGCTCCTTTTCTTTCTGCTCCTGAACCTTCAATGCTAAATTCAAAATATTGATGATCTGGAGCTTGGATGGAGAAGGTTTCTTCAACTTTTCGAGACGTTTGCTTGCTTTGAGATCTTATAGGAATTTGTGAAAGGCAACGAGCAATATAAATTACCGATATACTTTATGCTCGTTAGATACAATTTGAAAGAATTTCAATTTTGGGTCTCTCTATATCCAGGTGTGAGAGGCCTGAATGGGTGCATTATTTGTAGAATATTAGGTGACTCAGAAAGCGTAAAAATCTCGGCGAACTTTCGATTCACGAGCTGTGACAAACATTATCTTGAATTGCATCATGAAAATGTACCTATAGCGGGACATTCAATGAAAATGAATATAAAAAAATGGGGCTAGAACGTGTGCGAGCATCTTGGGAAAACCGAGAAGTAGAGTTTCCCACAATTCGGGCAAAGTGTAAAACACATGAAATCTAAAAAATCTGGCGGACTTCGTATCGCAAACTTTCTCAACAACTATCCCGGTTATTTTCTCTGAAAGGCAATTGAAATGTATAGCGCTTATTTTGACCCTGCTTTATGACCTTGTTTTGAGTTTGAATTTAATCCTTCGGTTTATTTTTATGTTTCGTTACGTGTGGGATTGCCTGGCATGTGACATTAGTGTCTTTTTTTATAGAGAATTTGGGCCAAAAATTAATTCCATATTTTTTGCTTTGGCAATGAACAGCTCAAATAGCAAGGTTTTCTAGTGAAATCTGGCTTTTTTCAAGTTCTTGAATGTGTACGACGTCAGAAAGGTCACGGGGAAAGATAGTGAAATCGAAACGTACGCCATAGAACCAGCTCGTGGTAGTTCGAGTCCACGCCGAATTCTATTCTAAATTGAAGGAAAATCAATGTAAATAATGTACGCGTCAATAGTTTTTCCCTGCGTCGTCCATCATCGATGGCAGCAGAATTGAGTTATCGAATATTTTGAAATACAGCATGTGAAAAGAGGCCAGGAGGAAAGTATAGAATAATTAAATAAACTGAAANGTGTAGTTCGTGTACATTTAAATGACTTTCAAAACATTCCCTCGAAATTTTCTGTTGTTTATTTGGCTTGATCATTTTAAAAGCGATACAAAATGGCACTTTAACGCCAGACAAAAAAGAGTCGCCTTGTGAAGTTATCAACGTCGATCGATTGATCGATTTAAAAGCTTTATTTAACGTTCGTGAGCGTTCAAAATGTTCGCAGAAGTTTCCCACGTCCCAAACCCCCACACACACATCCATTCAACACATCCCGGCCTACCAAAGGTAATTCACCATATGAGTATTAAAATAAAATACATTACAATTCATAAAAATGCATGAGGAATAAAGTATATGCACTGTGATGTTTGAATATAGAATTCGGTTGACCATAATGACCTCATGTACCTTACATTGTGAACGCGCAGCATTTTTAAAATACCACCAGCAGGATTGCAATTTAATGTTGTCACCGAAGATCAACGCTTCAGCTTAAATCTTTCGCAACTGGATGAGAATGGCAGTGCAATGTGCTAATCTTTCCAGTGCATGCACAAAGGCTAACGCC